AATATAGTACGACCCTAAACCCTAAACCCTACACCCTTACAAAGGGACATCAAAAAGGGACCCTACTTTAGAAAACCCCAAGTGGGCCCACAGGGAAGCTGGGCTTCGGGTTTGAGGACCCGGAGTTTCACTGAGCGAGGCCTTAAACCCTAAACCCCAAACCCCAAAACCCCAAAATCCTAAACCCTAAACTCCAAAACCCTGAACCCCTAAACCCCAAAACCCCAAAATCCTGTTTTTCCTGAAGGCTTTGGGGCGTGGGCTGCGAAGCCTTCGGGCTTTTCTTTCTTCAGCTCTTGGTGCTTCGAATTTGGGGGGGTGGGGGCTTTGGGGGTCCCGAGGTTGCAGTTGTTGAGTCCTTTTTTTTGTTTAGGGTTTAGGGTTTAGGGTTTAGGGTTTGAGGGTTGGGATGTTAGTTTGAGGGTCCCTTCAAGGGCTCCTTTGAGGGTTCCTTTTCGGGCTGAGGGTTCTGGCTCCCGACCTACCTAAACCCCAAGCCCTGCAACCCTACACCTACTGCTTAGGGTTTAGGGTCTAGGGTTTAGGGAAACCTTTGACCCTAAACCCTGGTGACAACTCCCGGCCTCTTCACCGAGACTCTCACTTAAAACGGCTCTTACCAAAACCCCAACCTCTTAAGATATCTGTTCGAGAGCTCCCAAAGGAGCCCTCCTAAACCCTAAGCCCCCTAAACCCCTAAACCCTAAACCCTAAACCCTAAACCCTACACCCTAAACCCTAAACCCTAAACCCCTAAACCTTAAACTCCAAACCCTAAGTCCCCCCCCGGCCTCTTCACCCCGAAGTTCAGCGTCGCCTCAGGTGCCTGGCCCACGCACCGAAGGCTGTGGTCGTTGCCGTCCTCGACCTGTCCGTGGTTTTAGGGTTTAGGGTTTAGTGTTTCGGTTTTAGGGTTTAGGGTTTGGGTTTAGCGTTTCGGTTTTAGGGTTTAGGGTTTAGGGATTAGGGTTTAGGGATTAGGGTTTAGGGGTTCAGGGTTTGAGGGTTTGGGGCTTAGGGTCCAGGGTTTGGAGTTTAGGGTTGAATGCTTCGGGCCTTCTGGATGAGGGATCGAGGGTTCAAGGTTTGGGTTTGGGACATAGGGAGACCGAAAGAACCCTAAAACCTTTCAACCCCTGAACCGCCTGAACCCGAAGAAGACCCACCCTAAACCCTACCCTAAAACCCTAAGATCTCCCGAGGGGCTCCCGAAATCCTGCAAGCTCTTGCTGCCGCAAACTCCAAGCAGCTAAACTACGAAACCACAGAAAGAATCTCGGTAAGGCTTTTTGGGTTTAGTGTATGGGGTTTTGGGTTTTAGGGACCCTGAAACCCTGAGCCCTTTAGCCGCAATCACTCCCCTAATCATGACCTTCCTGCTGTCCCTTAACTGGTTCCTTGTTGGGGCTTTTTTCAACATGATCATGTTTAATCCTTCTTGTCTGCTATTACAAAAAAAATGTCACATTGTAGCCCAGAAGTACCCAGCAAAGATGGCCTTCAGCGTCAGGAAGCCCTCCATCAGCTGACCGCTGTTTGGTGGAGTGAAGGTCACCTCCGCGCTTTCAAGGCCGCAGCACTTTAAAACAAGTTTTAAAAAACCCTAAACCCCATATTATCGGGTCTAAATAATTAATTACCAATAACATTTTGGGGGGGTCCTTAATATGGTTGTGGTGTGATGGGCCCCGAAACCCTATTCTAACTATTAAGGCCCCTATATTAATTAAACCCCTGAACCCTAAACCCCTGAAGCCCCAGGCCATTTCATACCAACAGTTTCACCACAAAGCCGCAGCAGCTGGCAGAAGACAATGCCGATAATGGCAACTACTGGACCAATGCTGAAGTCCTACACTCCGCACTCTAAGCCCCTAAACCCTAAACCCTAAACCCTAAACCCTACACCAAGCTAAGACCTCCCCTTTTAAGCCCCAAAACTCTCAACCCCGAACCCCTAAAACCCTAAACCCGTTAAGGATCTCCTGCGTTCTTCTCGCCTGGGACGTCCGATGCCATCTTGCACAAACCCCTAAACCCCTAAAACCCTAAACCACCCCTCAAACCCTAAGCCCTATAACCCTAAACCCTAAACCCCACCTCGATTCCCTGGGAGCCGCCCCGAGGGATGACGCCACTCACCGGGGAGACCGAGAAGGAAGCGTTCGCTCCCTGCCAGCCTCACTGTCACCATTGCTTGGGCATTGGGGCGGGTTTAGGGGTATAAGGCTTCAGGGGTTAGGGGTTTAGGGGTTAAGAGTTTAGGGCTTAGGGGTTTAGGTGTTTAGGTTTAGGGTTTAAGGTCCAGGGCGTAAGGATTCCAGCCTTGTTCAACAAACTTGGTACGCTCATGATTATGACTGTCTGCACTAGTCCTACTCTACTGCCACCGTTGCAGCACCTTCTACTCAGAACGAATACTACTACTACTACTACTACTACTACTACTACTGGAGGGGTCTCAATAATGACCTATATTATCTTGGGGTTCCTTATTATAAGTATACTACAAAGGACCCAAAAACCCTGTTCTTATATTACCAGGTTGGGAGCCCTTCTGCGGCAACCTTGCTTGAACGACTATCCGTTCATGGGCCCAGCGCCCTAAAGCCCAAACCCAAACTCCTATACCTTAACACCCTCAACCCTGAAGCATAAAAACCCTTAACCCTAGACCCTAAACCCGAAACCCTAAACCCCAAACCCTAAACCCTAGACCCTCCCAAACCTAGGCTTGAAACGACAAAAACCGCTTAGCCGTGACGCTGAACTTCGCCGGGGCGTTCCCTGGGTTGTCGAGCACCAGCCTTGGCGTGCGGGAAAGGTTGACGTCCAGGTCTGGGGACTCTTTATAGGGTTTAGGGTTTAGGGCGTTCATCAGGGCTTTCTTATGGGATCTCAAAAAAGGGCTTTTTGAATGGGGTATACATACTCTATTGATGGGATCTTTATTGCGGGTTGTATTTGCGTGCTCCCTATCAGGGCTTGGCTGCTGAGTTGAGGCGTCGGTCGAAGGATCTACAGGTTTTGGTCACGCAGCCCAATACCCCTTAATTCAGGAATATACCTTAAATCATAATATTACGGCCCCTTATATTTTAAGGTATATTCCTTATTTAAGGGGTATTGGGTTCTCTGGGTGGTTAGGGAATTACAGAGTTGAGCTCACCTCTACACCCCAAAAGCATTAGGGTTCAGAGTTTAGTACGTGTTTGAGAAGCTGCATGGGGTGGCACAGCCAAGCGGCTTCTCAGTGAGGGTCTTGTCCAAACTGTCCTCCGTGCAGTTCAGAGCTCTGAGAAACCCGATTAGCCCCGGTAGCCCCAATATCATGAAGGTGGGACTCACCTCCCCAACAAGCCAGGGAAATAAAAGGTTAAACTTTCAGGTTACTACTAAGTTACAAAGAACCAAAAACGTTTGAAGGTTGGGTATTGGGGAACTAAGAAGATAAAACAAAGTGGGACAGTTTAGTTTGCGCAACCCGTCCTCACCAAAGCGAAAATTGATGTCTGCCCTGGACATTCTGATCTGGACGGGAGTGATCGTTGCCTGAGCGTCAGCATTGTGCATGCCGCTTCAGCCGACGTATCATGCTCATGACACATACAATATAAAAGCTGTATTGCGTCATTTGCTATATATTGTAACATACTAGAAATTCATCAAGGTATACTCTAATCCTAATCCGGACGGTGGCGTCAAGACTGGGCATCACAGCATTACTCAGATGCCGAAGCTCGGCTAAAGACTTTGCATTTAGGGTTTAGAGTTTAGGGTTTAGGGTTTAGTTGTTGCCCCGCCTTGATCAGCAGCTTGTACGGATGGATGCCGTTGATAGTGTACACTACCTGCTGCAACGCACGCATCTCAGTCCCCTCTCTGAACCCTGAATTCACAGCTACAGATGTCCAAACCCAAAACTCCTAAACTCCAAACTCCTACACACCTTTAAGCCTTAAGCCTCCAACCCTGAAATCCACCCCTAAACTCCTAAACTCCAACGGCCCCCTTCGTCAGAACACCAATGCAACACAAAGTCCACATGAACCCCTGAACCTGAAACCCCTGGTCCATGAACTCTCAACTCTCTAAAGGCCTAGACCCTACAGGAACCCATGTAGAAACCCTTCAGGAACCCTTGCCCCCTAAACCCTAACCCTAAACCCCAAACCCTTCTAGTAGCCCTTATACAACCCTTAAAGGAACCCCTAAGCCCTAAATCCTAAACCAACCCTACAGGAACCCTTGCCCCCTAAACCCTAAACCCTAAAACCCTAAAGCCTAAAGCCCTAAATAACCCTGAACCGCTACAGGAACCCTTATAAGGGGGCCTGTCGCTGAAACGTCTGCGGAACCGCTGAGCACACGGAGACGTCGAAACCGGCCGCATGGGCCGAGGGAACGACCTACCACTTTGGTTTTGGGGTTTAGGGCTTTAGGGTTTTAGGGTGTAGGGTTTAGGGGTGTAGGGTTTAGGGCTTTTAGGGTGTAGGGTTTAGGGTGTAGGGTTTAGGGCTTTAGGGTTGAGGGTTCTTGTCACTCGCCAGCACGGGCCGCAGTTACCCTCAGCGAGTTGCACTTTCCTTGGACATGATGCTGGCGATCGCTGTAACACTGTTTCTGCATGTGTTCTTCTTTTGCGCTCTTACCAGAAGTATGATTACGGCTATGAGAACAGCTATCATTCTAACCACGACCAATCGAAGGAAATCAATGTAACACTTCCTGCTATGCCGATACTTCGCTTCGTCAGCATGGCCATTAGGTTCCTGAAGGATGTGAAGGCTATTTACCACTCCGGTGGTGGTGCTGATGATGTTTTAGCTTTCGTACCACCAATGCAACTTTCATCATGACTGGTTACCTCTCGTTTACCTTGTGTAGCATCAGCGTGTTTCGACATAAAATTTTTCTTAGCACGATTACTATGTAAAGATCTGCAGAGTCAGTAAAAAAAAAAGAGATCCGTGTTGATAGACGCCGAATTCCGATCGGGCCTGTGATGTCGGTGTGGAACGGCTAAGCTCTTCGGCGTCATACTGCATGGCTACCAGGATTGCCTGCCGTCGGGACAAGCATGAGCCTGCAAGTGACGCACTGTCCGGTCGATGGAGCTTGGGGCGCTGCTCTAGCTGCTTACTCCACTGACAGGTAAGACTTCAGCCGGAGCAAGAAGCCTTTAAAAGCCTATGAAGGACCTAAACCTTAAACCCTAAACCCTAAACCATAAACCCTAAACCCTAAACCTTAAACCCTAAACCCTATACCGAGTCTTTGCAAGCGAAATCGCAATTGCTGGCCATTCAGGGGACCCGTACCCACCGACCCCAGGCCTGAAATCCCAGCCCCCAAACGCGAAACCTTAAAACCCCAAACCCGAAACAAGCCCTGAACCTACACCTTAAACCACTAAGGATTGAACATGAACCCTCTAAACCACCTTAGACCCCCGCAGATCCTTCTAAAATCCCTACAAAACCCCCCTTGCGTCGGATGCTTCGCCTGCGGAAGATCGTTGAAGACCGAGAAAGACTTCACGACGGTAGATTTCACGTAGACGTTCCCGAAATCCAAGACCTCAGGGTTCGAAATGCCTTTATGGTTCAGGGTGTGAGGCTTAGACTTCAATGTCATACATGCATAAGGGGTTCAGGGGTTTAGAGGTTTTGTCTTGAGGACTCGGGCACTGTGAGTGTCGGGTTTGAGGTTTAGGGTTAAAGCGTAGCGTTTAGGTTGTAAGGGTCTAGGGCTTAGGGTTTAGGGTTTAGGGTTTAGGATTTAGGGTTTTGGGCTTAGGATCTTCGATTGATTCGGATCTTTGTCACCAAGGGATGGTACGCTTGGAACTCTTTGGAGCCGTGCGAAGGTCCGTACACAATCCCAATCCCCACAATCTACTAAGCCCAAATCCCTACAGAGCACATCCCACACAATCATTCCAAAAACTGAACCCAAGATTTTGCAAGCCCTGATCCCTTGCAAAGCCCTACAACACCCTGAACCCTCCAAAAACCCTGAAGCCCTAAACCCAGCCTCCGAAACCTACTGTAAACTCTTGCTGTAGACTGACTCAAGTACTACAAGTACTACAGAACCCTTGCTGGAACTTCCTAGGGTTTAGGGTTTAGGGTTTAGGGGTTTAGGGGTTTAGTGGTTTAGGGGTTTAGGGGTTTAGGGGTTAGGGGTTTAGGGGGAACCCTACGAAACCCTAAGTTCACGATGCTGAGGCCCTGTCTCCAGGGCCCACTGAGATCAGACCCAGCTGCCAGTTCTCCAGGCCTTGGAGGTGTGAAGGGTTTAGGGTTTAGGGTTTAGGGTTTAGGGTTTAGGGTTTAGGGTTTAGGTTCAGGGTTTAGGGTTTAGGGTTTAGGGTTTAGGGTCTAGGGTTTAGGTATACTTCTGACATAGGATAGGGTAAGGGTACTTCTGTAGTGTTTCTCGACATTAGAGAGCAAAAGGGCGATGTAAAAAATAGATAAACCCAAGCCCTAAGCCCTAAACATCAACTCCACTCGCTCAGAGCACGCCAGGAAAAGTTCACGGCACCCAAACGGCCGAAGGCCTTGCACGCACTGTTCAACGCATGCACAGCAGACAGCAAGCCCCTGCAGCGGATCCTGAACCTTCAGCAACATCACAACCCTAAACCCTAAACCCTAAACCCTCAACCCTAAACCCTAACCCTAAAGTCTACTATCACAGCAGATGTTCACTGGCCAGCCAAGCCGGACGTGTGCTTGCTTCCGACTATCGGAGAGCCTAAGACACTAAGATCCAATGTAGAACTACCCAAGGGTTTAGGGTTTCGGGTTTAGGGTACAGTAGCCTGGTAAAAGCCGCTGCAAACTTTTATGGGACCTTGATAGAATCCCTCGTAACCCCTTACAGGACACAAACACCTGAAAACACGACTTCTAAACCTTAACATCAACCTTTATGCCGACCTTCGTTCACAAATACAGAAGACATCAACTATGATTACTAACGAAACCAACACCAATCGTAAAGAATCACAATAAGCCTAAAACCTAAACTAATAATCATAACATAAAGGCGTTGATAATTAGAATAGGGTCATATAAACTATACGTATAATAAGGAGCCCCCAAAATAGTATGGGTAATTATTTAGGCCCCTATAGTCGTCGCTGAGATCCCGGCTGGCTACCCTAAACCCTAAACCCTAAACCCCTAGACCCTAAGCACTAAAACCTCAACTAACAATCATAGGTCGCTGAGATCCCGGCTGGCTACTGTACCCTAAACCCTAAACCCAAAACCCAAAACCCTAATTATAAAGGCCCCTACATAGGTAGTTGTCAAAATTATGGTCCCTTTTTGGGGTACCCTAAATAATAGGTGCCATATTATAATAAGGACCCAAAAAGGGACCATAATTTTGACAACCACCCACATAGGTCGCTGAGATCCCGGCTGGCTACCCTAAACCCTAAACCCTAAACCCTAAAACCCTAAACCCCTAGACCCTAAGCCCTAAACCCTAAACCCTAAACCCCTAGACCCTAAGCCCTAAAACTTAAACCCTAAAACCCTAGACCCTAAGCCCTAAAACTTAAACCCTAAACCCTTAGTAGTAAAACTTAAACCCTAAACCCTAAACCCCTAGACCCTAAGCCCTAAACCCTAAACCCTAAACCCCTAGACCCTAAACCCTAAACTTAAACCCTAAACCCTATAGTAGTCGCTGAGATCCCGGCTGGCTACTGTACCCTAAACCCTAAACCCGAAACCCAAAACCCTAAACCCCTATAGTCCCTAAGCCCATAACCCTAAACCCTAAACCCCTAGACCCTAAGCCCTAAAACTTAAACCCTAAACCCCTAGACCCTAAGCCCTAAACCCTAAACCCTAAACCCTAAACCCTAAACCCTCAACCCTAAACCCTATAGTAGTCGCTGAGATCCCGGCTGGCTACTGTACCCTAAACCCTAAACCCGAAACCCAAAACCCTAAACCCCTATAGTCCCTAAGCCCTAAACCCTAAACCCTAAACCCCTAGACCCTAAGCCCTAAAACTTAAACCCTAAACCCTAAACCCCTAGACCCTAGGCCCTAAACCTCTACTAACAATCAAAGGTCGCTGAGATCCCGGCTGGCTGAGCACTCCCGCACCTCGGCCTGGGTGGTGGGCCCGGCCTCGCACGCGCAAGAGAGCCCAAGGCCCTTCTGGGGTTCCCGGGGTTCCAAAAAGGAGGGTTTAGGGTTTAGGGTTGAGGGTTTAGGGTTTAGGGTTGAGGGTTTAGGGTTTAGGGTCGAGGGTTTAAGGCTTAGGGTTGAGGGTTTAGGGCTTAAGAAGTTTAAGGCCTAGGGTTTCGGGCCGTTTAGGATTTTAGGGTTTAGGGCTTTAGGGTTTAGGGTTAGGTTCTGTAGGGCATCTGGGGCTTCTCATGGAGCTTTAGAAGGAAGTTGGGCAACCCTAAACCGTAAACCATGGTCGGGTGGATCGTCAACTGCTCCCTACACCTGCCTTGTACTTCTTCTTGATGAGCTTGTTCTCGTCGTGCATGTATCCTTCGAGCTGTAGGTTTAGGAGATTCACAGGGCTTAAGGGGTATTTATGGAGCTCAGGAGGTTTAGGGTTTTGGGTTATTCAATAAGTGCGTAGGGTATAGAAAGATACAGAGGGTTCGAGCGTTCATGCTCAAAACCCTAAACCCTAAACCCTGAAACCCTAAACCGGAAAGCGAGAGTTGAACCAAGCTTCGATGACCAGTTACTCCACGCGCCGCGCTGTCGTCGTCCAGCGCACGCTCCAGATGTAATCTGTCGATCGGGATGTCATCGACATTGTAACGGGGACCTCACACAAGGGTTTGGGGTTTAGGTTGAGGGATGGTTGAGGGTAACGGGGACCTCAGAATTCCTGCGAAATTGAAGTTTTAAGCCTTCACACGCGTGCGCGTAATGATGGACGCCTCCACAAGAACTCCTACGTGTAGATGATCGTCAAGAGAGACGTTGCTGAGGCATCGGCTTTTGAGGCCTGACCCGGGCATCATCCCCATGTTGACATCGTCCTCGTAGAAGATGTCCTTGGTACGGTATGTTGGACAGGAAAACGCAACAACCGCAAGACTCCGCCATTCAAGCTCCGCCCAACTGAGGCGAAGGCAATCGGTTCTGTTGGGTGTTGCTCTTCTTGCAGACGCGCCTTCCGTCGCAACCTTGATTCCTGCTGATCATCAGCTTGTCGGATATGCATGAAGAAGGACCATGCGGTAGTTCCCAAAATTAGGATCCCAAATCCCCAAAAGAAGTCGTCAATCTGGCAAACGGGACCCTAAAAAGGGCTCTGAATCTAGAGAGCCCCGTGTGCAGGGAAGTCCTTCAGCATCTTGTTGTACCGCTGCTTGTTCCGAACGTGTTCCTGATGCAGCTGCTGCACTCAAAGAACTGCAACTGGCATGATGACCCCTAAACCTTTTAGCTCAAAACCTAAACCCCAAACCCCCGCAAGAATCTTCAGTCCAAATGAACACCTATATCCGAAAGCGTGGAGAATCTTAAACCATGAAGAGCTAACCGTACAACCCCTAAATCCCTGCCCAGTGGGCCTGCATCGCCGACGGCGAGAGCGAGTACGGAGTGGGTTCGGGCCTCGGCCACCAAAACCCCGCTTACAACGTCGCAGGATCCTAGAAGGGGCTCTGCAAAAGCCTTGAAAAAGGCTCTTTTCAGGTTTGAGCGCATAGTATTTTAGAGCATCAGGGTTTGCGACTTATGTTTCAGGGTTTGGGGTTTAAGCGGATTTCGAACGGTTCCTTGCACGGAATCACACTTCAGAACCTGATCTTTCTCAATTGGCACCCTCCCTCCACGGGCGCCAAGCAGGTCGAGCATGATGGAGTCTAGTGCGTCGGAGGAGTTCTGGTTCCTCTCCAAATCCTCCTTGCAGTGCATCTAAAGCCCTAGACCCAGATTCCGAGCCCGCAACCCTAGCGAAAGGAACGCTGATCCTGAGTTTTGTGTCGAAAACTTGTGTACAGTCCGAACATGGATGGCTCTATCTGCGGGACAGAACTCAGACTCAAACTCCTTCCTGCCAGTCTCGTGTCGATCAAGCTGCCCGATCCGTGTTACACACATGGACCAAAGCCCAGTTCCGCCTTCATGATCTTCGTCAGGGACTGAAGATTGCCTGAGCAGCTACAAGCATGATGACGACTCGTAGGGTCCGACCGAGATTTGCCACATTTAGGGTTTAGGGCATGGCTACCACCAAGCTGACTCTTCCTAGGGCAGACCTGAGTACTTGAACCGGAAGCCCAACACCCTGAACCCTAAACCCTGAAC